AGTAAACAATACAAAACGCCATTCATCACGTTTTGTCCCTAAACCGTTTGGAATGCGATGGGATCAAATTAGGAAGGCATTTCACTATCACATGTCTACTTTTCTATGCTGGCCTACCTTTAGAATACAGCACCACAAACTTTAAAAATACATCATAATACTCTTTTACGTAATGTAATGTGATTTTGTTCGAAGGCACGTTCTCGAAACAATGCCCTATGACGCCTGCATGGCAACGCGGTTGTCTGGCTCAGCGAGTGCGTATAAGCTCCGCTCACTGATGTTTCATCTCTACGAGCTATGTCATTGCATAAGCCCAACGATGTTGAGAGTTTCCAGTAGTTGTATACCGGCGGATGCGCAATATTTTGCAAGCACCAGTTTGAAATATTTTTCTTTTTTCACTAATACGCTCATATTTATTTGTATTACGGGCTGCTGAGGTTTTATGTTTTGTGTATTTTGTATTTTGCATTTTTTAAAATTTACATATATAGTTTTGTCATTCAGTAATGTGAACCATTAAATAGAAAAGTGCTTTATTAGTATTTTATTTTTCGAAGCAGTAATAATGCATTACACGTCATCGTGTTTGTGCCGGTTCGGTCAATGCATTCTATTTATTAGGATTAATTCAAGGGGTTAGGGCTAGGGCTAGGGCTAGGGCTTAGGGTTTAGGGTTGGGGTTGGGGATGCAATGTAGTAGGTACATGTCCGGTGGTTCGGTCAATGCATTCTATTTATGAGGATTATTTAGGGTTAGGGTTAGGGTTAGGGTTAGGGTTAGGGCTGAGGGTTTAGGGTTTAGGGTAAGGGACCTAATCCAATATAGTAGGTACATGTCCGGTGTAATACGTGAGTATCATTTGTTGTTTTTCCTTTTTGCATTTTAATACTTTTTTTTCACACAAAAACGGGAAGACAAAAACGTCGAAAGTACATTATGAAATGGGTTAATGTAGAAATTTTGGGCTAATGGAAATTGGCCTGGAATTTGCACTCAAGCCTCTTTCACACGCAACAGAAATTTTGTAAAGTAATGATTCGAAGGATAACTCACCCTCGTGCCGTCACTACACAAGCTCATGTCTCCCTCGTTCCTTAGTGCGATCCACATTATCCTCACAGTGTTCCCTACATCACTTTTCTGTCACAAAATCACCGATTTATATAAAAGCGCGTCATTTATGCATGCACCGTGAAATCTACGTCTGACACCTGACGTCAACAACCCTTTTCAGTATGAGGCATATCGGCTCATACCACGCCACACGTTAATTTGTAGATTACGGAATGGGACGAGTGTGCCAAATGGCATCGGATCCATTCGGCAATTGTCCGTAGAATAAAATCAGGAGACACCAAGTCTACCCGTAGCTTTCGTAATTGTCCGTGACCTATTCGTTCATTTCCGTGACGTCACAGGAATGACTCGATAAATTTGCACATTGTGCAACAGTGTGGACGTAGCTCAGTCAGTTAGCTGTCGAGCTAACAATCCGAAGGTCGCGGGTTCGCGTCCGACGGGTTCTCACAAACTGGTTGCTTGTCTTAATGAAACGTGACCTACGGCAGAGATCGAGAAGTTGTGGTGCTGTATTCTAAAGGTGCTCCTCTATGCTTATATTGACACGTGGCAACAGCGTAGCACATATATTATGCATACGTTTACAGCTAATACAGTGGATAACATTATAAACTTAATGTAAGCGTTATATATTATCTACAGGGGTTGAAACTGGTCTCGTGTAAAAATATTGCATTTGCAACGTTTTTAGACATTAGTTTGCAGTAGAAAGGTCACTGACGTTCTGATACAATACTATGGTTAAGAACTAATATAAGTATACCATCTATCATGCTCAGGACTTTCTCCAATCTCTATGATCAAAACGTCAAATATAGGACGGTCCAGCTCAACACCACAAGCACACGGTCGATAAAATCAAGCTCAACACATCGCTGATCCCAAACGCCAGGCCGCCGGAATGTAACCTACTGACATGACAATTAGAAATCAGCTACATGCTCAGCGACCATGTATTGCACTGTTGTGCACATTTTGGTCTCACTTCAATGTTATATGGACTTTCTTGAATCAACACTACGGTGGCACAATAGGGCCATCTGGGTTTTCTTTCTTGAAATGTAAAGTAGTGACTTGAAATTTCAAGATTGTAAGTTGAAATTTCAAGATGTCGATTTTGAAATTTCAATTTAATGTTCGAGTAAAAAATGAAATTTCAAGATACTATGTGCCACTGTACAACACTAATGAAACGGTTGAATATTGCTGTTGCCTTGCCCACAGTGAATCAGGAGATTCAGCTGCAATTATGTTAAAAACAAGACGTAATAGAAATACATCAGTAAAACGTAGCTCGGAATATATACTATCCCAAAAAAGAAACGCATAACCCAGAAATCTTTTGCGAAAATGTTGTATTTTCAACCATGTATAACTCGTCCACAAATAGACTTTTGTGCATGAAGTTTTACACCAGGTTAGAAGAAGGTAATGTCTATACAACCAAGTGGATATTTTTAGATAACGTAGATGTTGAGCGCGATGGTGACGACGTAGCACGGTCCAGACGTCGGGTCTCCTGGCTCTCAGACCAATCTCTTTCAACCTGTTCTGTACAGTTTGACCGGATATCCTCCGAAGTCCAGGCACCTTGGCTCTCGGCTCTCACCCGTGGCAGTACGATCACGCAAATGTAGTACCCAGATGTACCGATTTGGGGCTACAGTGGTGACTCGAGGTCTGCCTGTACGGGGAGGGTCATTTGTTATACCTGTTTGGTTGTACCGAGCTGCAAGCCGTGATATCGTGCTCAGACTAACATTCAGACGCCTGGCAACAGAAGATTGGTAATCTCCAGCGTGCATTCTTTCAATGGCGATGTTCCGTGTTGCAGCGTCAAGACGTGGCGTAGTGATTTGACCTTGAAACTCCTTCAAAACGAATGCCAATTTCCGAAAGTAATCTGGATTTGTATTGCCAGACAGTGCAAACTCTTTGCTGCACAATTTCAACCGGAAGGTGCTTTTCTGTTGCGCTGTGTCGATGCCTTTTAAATCCTTGCAAGAAATCTCATCAAAATCAACATTTTCAGGTAAACTCGATATTTTACTTGTGCAATTGTGTATTTAATCATGTTATCAACACTTTTTTTACATATTTGACGATTGTTGGAACAAAATAGGTAATTCATAGATTATTAAAAATACAAATCGCCTATGCGTATCGTTTTTTTGGATAGTATATTTACAATTGTTGCAAATCCCAGAAGATATAAAATGAATTTTGTAGAATCTTAGAGGTTTCTATGGACACATAATGATATAATCGGTGATGCTCAACAATGATCATCGTAGATTTTACTCACTCACTCACTGAGCAGGTACGATGTCAAGAAAACAATGTCTTTTGAGTCTGTTCAACCACAATTTCAAAAGTAAATTGTACGTTTTTTCGCAAATACTCGAGAACAGAATCATAGGAAAGCATCCTCGTTTACACTGGACTGCATTATGCAAGATCACAGCATGAAAACCTACGTTGCAAAGCAAAGTCAACTGTTGTCCATAGTCCAATTACTTACATTGGTACAATGTATGTAGCCCATTTCTGATGCACCCTGCCCTGATATTGCTAAAGGCGGAGTCAAGTCTCCATAAATCCTGTGAGAATGTGTCGTTTAATACCTACTGTTTATATCTCCTGTGACTGGAAACCCCTTGAAATGTCTTACTGTTAATATACATGTACACATAATCTGTGTATAAAATATGTTTATATGGACACATGAAATATGGGCATGGATTTAATCAGACCAAACAGTTCAAAGAAAATAACTCAATTTTTAGTTGCAATGAATAATGTAATGGATCTGCGACAGGTATTTACTGCAGAACTCCGCGCATCGATAGGTGTCGCTGTTTCAGCGATGATATATGTCAACGCAGTGCTTTGAACTTGCAACACGCTAGTTAATGTTCAAACATTAATTGTCAAGTCTAAATGTAACGCTCAGTTTGAAAAATGAATTCTAAGATATCTTGTATTTACTCAGATGAATAGAACATACTATCTGATAAAAAATATCAGACCATCAGGATGTCTAGCTGTAAATTTAGTCTGTCCGTCAGAAATCTAGCCCGTCTCGGGCGGTCGGACAGGCCTTATTTCATACACTGCATATGGTCAATTATGTACAGGGGTTTCGGGTTGGAACTGGTCCTAGTGTAAAGCTCTTGGGTTTGCATCGAAAGTGTGCAGCTGCAACATTCCAACTCTTGTCGATTTGAACTGTTTTGTTTGATATATTTGTCTCAGATATAATGAGTGAGTGAGTGAGTTGAGTTTTACGCCGCACTCAGCAATATTCTAGCTATATGGCGGCGGTCTGTAAAAAATTGAGTCTTCACCAGACAATCCAGTGATCAACAGCATGAGCATCGATCTGCGCAATTGGGAACCGATGACATGTTTAAGTCAGCGAGCCTGACCACCCAATCCCGTTAGTCGCCTCTTACGACAAGCATGGATTACTGAAGGCCAATATTCTAACCCGGACCTTCGCGGGCCTCTCAGATATAAGTTTAAAAAACCCTGCTAAGTAGATATGAAACAAATGCTAATATAAAAGCGACAAAACTAGTTCTATTGTCATAAGACATCTCTGGCAAAGGCAGTGTCGACTGTAGGGTTCAGACATCATCATGATGTTTCCCTATGTAATTACGAATTATTATCACACAGTGATGATACCAATTGTTCGTGAAAAGCTGTCGGTAAGATACATACGTCTTTTTCTTTTCACAAAATATATCAACGGATAATTTTAACTGTTCCGTACGATTTGCAATTTCACAAGGTAATACATGTAATATTATGTCATAACTAGAGAGTCCAAATGAAACAAGTATGTATTGTACTTACTTTATAGTATCAATGTATTACTATATTGTAAAGTATTCAAATTCAAACCTACCTGGGTAGAACATACGTTCCCTGTAAAATAAAACAAACATAATGTAGATTAGATAAATATGCAACGTATTTTCTGCGGTGCTCATGGAGCTGATAGGTATCGAGTTTCCAACAATACTGGAAAATCCAAGGTCAAACGTTGCATGTAAGTGCACTGCCATTCGTTCCATGTCAACAGTTAAAGCTGATTGCATCCCACCTTAAAATAACCAAACAATCAATTGAACTGTATGTAGCGGGCATACATGGTTCCTTTGTTTGAGACGCCATAATACCCCAGAGTTGAGTCCCTTTCGTACGCCAGAACCCGATGTTTGGGACTTCGCATCGATCACTTTTCTTACTTTCTAATTTTTGTCAACATGATACCCATGCTAGATGGTTCACCAAAGTGCTAAGGGTCTGACCACATCAAACTGACATACCACTATTACCTGGAATATTGTTAAAATGGGATCAATACGCAGCTCACTCACTTCTTCTGAATAAACCTTGATCAGTGACCTATATATTGGTTGTGTCATAGTCTTAAAATCACTATCATATGTCAGTAATACGTTGCGTATTCACATCAATATTTTATTAAACAATCAGCAAAACATTAATATATTTCTTAAGATAAAGTAAACGACTTGCTGTCCACGTAGCTCACCGTCACTTATCAGTAACACTGAATTATGCAACTCAGTCAAGCTGCATCTGCTAGGGTTATGTCCCAGGCTGTAACATGTTGTGCGTGGTCGGGCGCTTCGTCATTGTAAACAGATAATGTCAGATACCTAGTGATATCAACGATTTTAAGTGGTCAGTGCACACCATGACACAGACAGAATTGCAATTGATACACAAAAAGTTAGGGTCAACATTAGGTAACTCAGAATTTCCACAGAAGGCCTGAGTCCCTGTATATGTTGAGTCTAGTAGCAGACACTTTACTCTGCTACGAACAAAGAATCTAAGGGCCTCAGCAGCCTTCTCTCTGTTTTTAAGGTGATGGTCGAGTAGGTCAGCTCTGCCAAGTTAGCCTCTACACTCCTAACTCCCCCCACACACACACACACACACACACACACACACTCACACCTGGCAAACAAGCTCCGTCAGTAATACTTCTTGATACCTTGCCACACGCTTACTGGCAATTTGTTGGAGCAGTACCAGTATAGAGTTGCTAGCATGAATACTCAACAATGGGTCCTGGTATACATTGTTAAAAACAGGCTTGGGTGGCGTTTGCTAATGTCCCGATATTTCCCTTGGAAAACATTGCATTTTTAGTGTTATAACTTTCTCATTAACTTCGCCTACAACCAAAACCAGAGGCTCCTTCATTAGACTCACAGCATTAACGGGTTCGGGTAGAAGAGTTAATTTTGAAAGTTGAATACTTGATACATTCAAGCAAGCTTGTGATATGTAAGTCAGGATATCAGTTATTGGCATATGATAGTACAGGGTCCCCTAGCTTGTGATATGTAAGTCAGGATATCAGTTATTGGCAAATGATAGTACTGGGTCCCCTAGATAGTACAGATTCTTTTGGTTGTAGAAAGCAACTTAGTGAAGATAATGTTATGATCCGCAAAAGCCAAAAACGATATGTTCCTGCTCTACCGGTAGCATCCGCCAATTACACAAATTGCTTGCTAAAGAAAGTTCAAAACACAAACACAGTCTGGGCACAATCGACTCTGGACCAGACAATCCTTTGGCACCATATCATGTTTATCGATTTTGTTATCGATAAGTTGACTTTGAATTCAATAATCAAATGCATGGATTCTGAAGTGGAAAAAGTAACCAAGTGAGAGCAGTTATAACGTTTTATGCCAAACTGACGTTGGACTTGGAAAAATTAATATTATGCTTTTCATGGAACTGGACTTCATTTCACTTGCAGAAACTTCGACCCAGTTAATACTTATATAACGTCAACGCAAGAGACAATCCAGCTTCAATTAACGTCAAAAGTTTCCATCGGAGGAAATCCTTTAGAAGAGATTGTCAAAATGGTGTTGTGCCTTTAGTTATTAAAGGGTTTTCTTTTTAGAGGAATAGTATAGAAGAGATGGTCCATCTTAGTGCCACAAGTAACTTTGTGGATGATCATTTACCGTAATAGTTTGTATATGTTTCACGTAATATGAAGGATTGGTAGAATGGACAAATGTGAAAAATAATGATAGGGATATTCCTTATTCACTTCTTTTTCCATTTACAATGAACTCATTATGAGTGACGGGTGGTATCGATAGAGCAAGATACCTGCTGTCTTCATTGATTATCAGTGATCGGTTGACGGTCATTAGTGTTGTACATTTTGTGGATTCTGTTTCAGCAGATACAGTTTCTGACATTAACGCTCTGAATGTACAGAATATTGTGGATGCAATGAGAAGTCTAGTCTTTTTAGCTCTGATCGTTTGATCCCCGCGTTTAAGTGTATAAAGGTTTCAGCAATCATATGCTTCAAAATAAAACATTTCTGAAAGCATTTCCTTCATATTGCGACTTTTATCATGCATGCGCGATGATCAGAGCGCAGGCAATGGCATGCACACTGCTAACAAATATGGTACACGCAGAAATATATACAAATGTACTCACAGATAAAAAGAATCTAATTCAGACATCAGTTCTTCCTCTAACTCTGGTGATCGAGCTTGTGCGCTTGATGGTGTTGAAGTCGAGCTGACGTTTTGCCCAGTATATTTTGAAGCGGTGTCTGGTTTGCCACTAAAAGTTGGAGTTTCTTTTTCTTTCACTTCCAAAGTACAAACTGGGGCATTTGGTTTAACGCTTTCCAAAAAGTCTTGAAACATTTGTTTCACTGTGTCTTGTTCATTGATCATTTTGTTTCTGCCTTCTTCTGTTTCATGTAGAAATTCTATGACGAGACATCCCTTGTAAATTTTGTACAACAGACAGCCATAACGTTCAATCAACTTTGCAGTTAGGTCCCACAAAGCATCACCGGTTTCTCCATTGATAATTGGTGGTTTGAAACCGTCGAAAATATTTCCAAAGGTCCATATTGATACGAAAGCTTTTTCGGTGTCGACATTTTGACGGTAGTACCAGTCACGAACTTTGGCGTTGGAACAATCAACTGTTGAAAAACAACAATAACAGCACATGAGACCTCCATTTGCTATTATTCTCTATTTCATTACATCAATAATTCGTACTATTTCTAGAAATGCCTTATCTATGTGTTTTCTACAGTCACTGTAAAGATTCCACATTCATTAGAAAGACACCAGGTGACAAACGAATTTTGACTCTGGTGCATTCCCGTATTTGTTTTAAGCTCGCTATTATTCTGTATAGCATGTGTGATAAAACACCAATAATAATTTCCTATGGGGTGAATTTTATGTTTTGGTTTTTCAATTGTTATGAAATAGGCATTGAAAAGGGCTTAAATGTTTCATTACTGCCAAAATAAGAGGGAATATTCGACATGTGAAGCTACACATGGAGATACCTTATACAAAAAGAAGAGTTTTGGGATCACAAACTATTTATCAAACCTCTAACTGTGATAGAAAGTTGCCCGAGGTTTAAGAAGCACACAATCCCATCTACAATTATTATCCTAGAGATATTTGACTTGATATGAATACAACTCACCGTAAATCAATGTCCCTCCATCTTGTGCGGGAACTGAAACATGTTGTTGCAACTTGAAATAGTTCATTGAAAGAACTATCAAAATAAAACACATTTTTGCAGGAATTTCGACACAATGTCTAATCTTTATCGGCGCAAAGCCTTTACTGTCTAAATTAATAATGTGACAATTTACCTGATATCTTAAGTTTTGGATTCGCACCCTCAGTGGGGCTACAGGACAGTCCTCCCCGTTGTTTATCTGCAACAATGATTTAAGCTCGTTCAGATATAAAAACCTTTTCTCAATCATCTCAATCTGAGTAGAGTATAACCAACACGACAGGCAGCTAGGTCTAACTTTTTGATATTTACGTATTGGCGTAAGATTTCATTATTTGACTGTGGGTTGATGAAGTCAGCATACACACATATATTAAGCATATCAGGATAATAGATAATCTGTGGGTGAATGATAATACATTTTCTTGATACTGGACAAAAGTATCGAGAGACAGGAAAGAGACTGACCTTCACGTAACCCAGCTACATTAAATCCCAAAACAGAAACTAAAAAATGTCTTTAGAATATTTCTTAAACTGAACATTCGTGCTGTCATACCCCAAGTGGAATTTTAAAAGAATTCGCTGAAAACTATATGAATGACCCCCAAAACCCTCAGACTAAAATATTCCCAGAGATGTGAAATATATGTCCAATGTTAAAGATTAGAGTTGATTAGTTACATACAGATATAATAAATATTATTGTCTTGAAACTCGTAGCGATTTATAATTATATTTCCTAAAACTGTTAGCTATGTTCTTAGTACTTTCAATATGACGATATATATTTTTCATGATTTTTTTAAGCAATAACATAATTACGATATAAGTAGTCGGGATTATTTTTATCAAAGCACCGCAATCATTACGCGCGTTCTCATTGGTTTGTCGTACTTTCGCACATACCGAGACGGGGACGGGTCTTCTTGGAGGTTACGGAAAGGGGCGAGTGGTGACGAATGATAATCTAGATATGAAAGGGGAACTCGTCTTGCATCCTATAAATATACATGTAGGTATATATAGAACAAAACAGTTTCATATAATACAATAAACATACACACCGCCCTGATTAAATGTAGCCTTTTGCTTTTCCAATTGTGATGCTGTTTCTAACTCTGCTCTTCTTCGATCCTTCCACAGTGGTGGTGTCGCAAAAGGTATCTGGAACCAATTGGAACTTTTCATTAACCAGTCAAGGTTTCTTGTTTCACAGATCCGTTACCCGATCTCATGCCAAGACACTCTCAAGAATTGATTCTTTGATGAAATATTTCAAAACGTGACAACCCATCCAAAGTCCCTGCTAACAATGAGTTGAATTTGTCTGGATTGCATAACCTAATTTATGAAAAAAATTAATTTGATGTATAAAACAAATGCATTAAGCATGTGTATTTCGTTTCGTAACTAAGATAAATTCAGTTTTACATTCGTGAAAATCCTGTCAACATCAACATTCATTAGTCAGAAAATGTTACTGAAGAACTTGTATTGACTGATCTTGACTGATCACGCTATTGACTGACAGCGTGTTTTAATGAATGGGAATAGTTGGTCTGCTGTTTTGATTATGATCACCGTTTCATTGAACATTATATGTTTATTAGTTTTCGAATTAGGTTGCAATTCATCGCTCCGCTTTTGAGCCAAACGGATTATAGTATTCACACCGAAACGTCGCTCATATCAATAATAAAGAAGCTGTATATTCATACTCTCCCCGTTGTTAATGATACAATAGTCAACGTAGTAGAGTTAGATAATCCTATGTTGGTAAAGAAAGGAATGAATGAATGTATGATTGAATGTAATATGAATGAATGAATGTGTAAGATTTTGGGTTCATTGACGTACGAATGGAAATTCAAAAACCGATGTGAACACTGTATGAACCCCTGGATGGGTTGCTTGATTTGTTGGGACATTTTACCTGCGTTTTCCGACATAATGCACACTTTGCACACTGACAAAATAACTGGATTCGAATTCGGACATTGCAGCAGCGAAAGTAGTCCCATGCTAACTTTTGAGTTCCTTCATTGGGAAATGAATGCAATAGCAGTTCACATATCAATCAACCAACCAACCAATCAACCAATCCATCCATCCATCCATCCATCCAGCCAGCCAGCCAGCCAGCCAGCAATCAGCCAGCCAGCCAACCAACCAACCAACCAACCAGCCAGCCAGCCAACTTGCCAACCAACCAATAAATCAATAAATCAATCAAATGAGAAACCTTAGTGGAGGATGACAAATGCTGGGCATTATATGCATGCATGTTTATGTATGTATATATACATATATATGTTTGTATATGTGCATCACAATACAAAATTTCTGTAAATAAAATTGATGTAATGATAATATGGCATTTGATCAATGAAGTAAGTTTTCGGTATCGCCAAAAGTGAATAGGCCATGCCCTCTAGCGGACAACTATTTTCTGAATGTCTGATATCCAAGTGAATGGGGCGTGTTTCATTGTGATGAGCGATGTCGATTGAGTTATTGGTGCTAATGTTTGAATAACCTGTCTGTGAAATGTTATTGATGACATATTTATTTTCAGAATCAATATTCCCTTGCCGTCAGGAGAGAATAAACGGTTTTATGTGAATGAAACCTCGGATTGACACATAGTCCATGTCGGTCTTTACCTCCATAAATTAAGCAAACCAATATTGGGGCTATGTTTCATATGAAGTGAAATCTTCATTCCTTTTCATAAGTTTTCAAGTATTCTAGTGCTTAATATAATCTGTCACTTTCTTTACTTACTCTTTCCCACTTTCGATGTTGCGGTGTCAGGGCTTCGATCATCTGTCGTCTCTGTGTCACTTCCAGATGACTGGGACGTGTCCATGGAGACCACGTCATCCTTATTGCCTGGCAAACTGCCCATCATTGTCGCCAGATATACGTCGGAGTGTCTGACATTAAAAATTGTGAGCGAGTTCAGTTTTATCCCGCTTTCAGCAATATTCCCACAATATCACGGCGGGGGACATCAGAAATGGCCTTCACACATTGTGCCCATGTGGGAAATCGAACCCGAGTCTTCGGCGTAACGAGCGAACACCTTAACCACTAGACTACCCCCGCCCCTTAAAAATTGTGAGTGAATGAGGGACTGACTGAGTTTGGTTTTACGCCGCTTTTAGCAATATTCCCACAATATCACGGCGGGGGACATCAGAAATGGCCTTCAGACATTGTGCCCATGTGGGAAATCGAACCCGAGTCTTCGGCGTGACGAGCAAACGCCTTAACCACTAGGCTACCCCACCGCCCTGTGGGGGAATGAGGGAGTGAGCATGGTTTTCGCAATATTCCAGCAATATCAAGACTGGCGCCCAAGCAAATGGGCTTCAAACGTTGCAGCCATGAGGGGAAACAAACCCGGTACTTGAGGCAATAATTTATAACCCCAACACTTTTCCATCGCCTAAAACAGGGAAATGGAATTATAACCCTCCAGGTGTGGTGTATTTGAAATATATATTCAACACAAACAAAATCCATATTCAAAATTATTGACATTAGCAATGATAAAAAATATTATAAAACACATGTATATATTGAATACGATCATGATTTTGTTATGTGATATTTTAACATTATCTCACCAATACATGTTATTGGATAATTCCACTGTTAACCATCATTGATAGGTCCCACTTGTTGTTCTAACCTTTAGTGTTTACAACACTAGAATACTACGTTCATTTAAATGATTAAAATCTGTAACAGTTTTTAAACAAATACGACTATGAATGCTGTCATAATGTCCAGACTGATTTATCAGCTACGAAAAGAAGTCTTTATATCAATATATTGATTTGAGTTGTCATCTTTTTTTTGTATAATCGTCGTCTTTGGAGAAAACAGCAGTGACACCATTCCTACGATGGTGGACGTGAATGTCACTGATAATTATATACTGAGCAAAACAAGTTCGGATCACGAATATATTTATATGAAATTGCGTGGTCTGTCAAAAAAAAAAAAACATGCCCCAACTTTTCATGACCCTTGAGTTCTTTTTGCAAGTATGGGTTTTATCTACTTTAAACCCGAACACCATATATACCGAACAAACCAAGTCATTGGTGGTGGTGTGTGTGTTTTGGGGTGGGGTGGAAGTTGGGGCTGTAATTGCATCAGTAGTTGCGAGTTCAGTATAAAGCTCTGTATGCTATCCTCTAAACTATCCTCATCCCTAACCGTTTTGATCAGTATAGGTTTTCATTTATCCGAACAGTCCTTCATGCCGAGCAGCAGCATTCAGGGCAACATCAAGTCCCACGCTGAATGTTACATATGTTGCTGTTGTTTTCAATAAGTGTACTACTATTTACCACCCATTACACTAAATACAAATATATTTTAATTGGTCATAATGCACTTCACACATACTCACCGCACACGGTGTGCTAATAACACAAACAGTTTACAATGGAACATGTAGATACAGCTGGTGTAAAGTCTTTAAGAATCGCAAGCACATGCAAGCTGATGACAATGTGATAAAGGCAGATAGTCGAAATCCATAGACAAAAATTTACCGTGGACACCGGTTAGGGGAATCCCCTATTTTCGGTTTCCATTGCTTAATATCCTGTTACCTGACAAGACGTTATTCGAGAGAAAAAACCCAAAGCACGCCGATTTTCACATTTTGAGCAAATAGTTACCACGCATCTGAACAAACGTTATCTAAAAATACATATGACTCATATCAAGGTGCGAATGTGTTCATTACAATAAACATGTAATTAAAGGTGAAACGTGTACCAGGAAGTAAAATCAATGATATGTCAGTGTGTTATGTTTGTTAAAATATTGAATTACCTAGTTTGTGATCTGACATAAAGTCACAACCAATAGTCAAATCATATAATGCTATTTCTTATTGTCGTTTTATTTCAATTAGATCTGTATTAAAAATCCCGTTGCAATTATCAGCTTGATCTGTATTGGTGAAATCGTTATGTATCTACAACATACCAAGCATGATATATAGGACAATCTGCGAAGACTACCGTTAAATTTACCGTTAAATACCACAGTTGCTCTGACCTTGTCTCAGCCTTCCTTCGATATGATCCAGGTGTTGTCTGATTACAGTCATAGACGATGTATAGTGTGTGTGGAAGTGTTGCCAACTCAGCCTTCCGTGTCCCAACTCGTGTAAGCGGTCACGTGATACAACCGGTGTTGTACAGAAAATGTCCCACATCAACAGTAAGGGCAGCATTTATATTTTGTGTTTCTCATTGCCCGACCGACCTTTGTAATTTTATTGCCGACCTCACCCCCACTCCTAATTCTAATATGAATTGCAATAAATAAGAATCAAGAACATTATTCAGATAATGTTGTCTTTATTAAGGCTTTTTGTTTAAGGTGTTTTTTTCCCGACCGACCGACCCATGTTCAGAATTTGTTGGCTACGTGAAACACATAACAAAACGATGCCCTAACCAGGCGTACGGGCTAGTGGGGAAACTCAAGCTCATGTTTAAATTTGAATATGCACCGTCATGGATGTAATCCAATCTTTACACTTTACTGACTGTGCATCGGTGTTAAATAACATGCTTGTATAAGCAGGCATTGTATATCAACCTGTAAACTCAGTTTGTAGTTGCAGTTTCTTTTTAAATAGTCTACATTTTACAGTCAGTGAGTCGAAAGTATTATTGTTTTCAAGATCAGACTGAACTATAAACTGTTCAAGCCAAAAAAATCGAAAACAGCTGAAAAGGTATCTCTCAGAAAATAATATACGCTGTGAGTATAATGGCGTTTTATTGAGTGAAATGGGTGGGTGATTGGTCTTTAAAGTCTGCTTGGTGGAAGTGAATGAGTATGGATTTACGCAGCATTATAGCTAAAACACATGGACTTATCATGAAACGGCCCTCTTATTATCATAAATTTGCGGGCCGCTGCAAATGATATTGGACCGCTCAACCTTAACGACGGGCCACTATCAGTTCTGTTGTCAAGTGACGTCATGGTGGGTGCATCGGTTCATTCGACATTGGCTTTGGACTGGCAGATATTCTTGGTCAAACAAGTCAAAGCAACCCGAATTCCCGCTTTAAATAGCGGTAATATTGGCTTTCTTGCTAGTGCTAACCTTTACAATTGCACTATTAACGTTGTTGTACACTGGCATGGTTTGGCATGTTGCAGGCTGTGGTCTTGTCAAAGGCCAAGGTCGAATATCGTCACTTTCTGTTGTGACGTCACTTGAATTGCTCGATGACGTTATTGCATGCGGGCAGTCAACCCCGTCAGAAGTTGGTTTTGAGTAAACTTACTGTCAAATTCCTTCATTGTTTCCTTTTTCTTTTCAACACAAAGTCCATGTATTTTAGCAATAATAACGGTAATGCTATTTTTGAGGGCATTATCATTTGCAGAAGCCCTCGGTCTTTTTTCAACTGCCCTCCTTCGTCGGGCAGTTAATGGAAGACCGCAGGCTTCTGCAAATGATAATGCCCTCAAAAATAGCATTACCCTTATAATATTCCAGAAATTTCTTGGATGGGGACAGTAGGGATGGGTTTCACACATTGTACCCATGTGATGAATCGAACCTGGGTGTTCAGCGTAACGAGCGATCGCTTTAACCATTAGGCTACCCACCGCCCGTCTGCTTGGGAGGAAATATACCTGGTGTATTCAGTATACATTGCCACATCGGAGACGGGCGAAAAATATTGACTATATAATGTCGAAATTGAACATTGTCCACTTCTAATTGACCACTCATCCATAAATCCTTATTTGTTTTCCCCCAGGAATCAATTTCATGAGTAATTGATAACTCATCGATCTTCCAGATCAATGGGGATTGGTTCCAAAAACACATCTTCCTTAACGTATGGATCGATGGTTGCCTTGTCTCAGGCTTGTACATATACATTCGTGACAAACTCCTGTTATTCCGGGACAAAGCGATCTTCTTGCAGTTACGGAAAGGGGCGACTGGTGACGAATGAGACATGATCCCGAAATGTAGTTCCTGTGTGTAAATGTCGCAGATAGAACTTTGTACATATAAATTTTATTATTTTTATACTAATATATATAATAATATATATATTTATCAGCAGGATAGTTAAAATATAGATCATGTGTCCCTCAAGGTCTCAGCAAACCCAAGCCATGATGTGCTTAACTGATTGGCCAAACTAACCCTCCAAGTTAAACTCTTCGTTAAACAGCTTGCACTCAGTATGCACAAAGTCACTACACAGACAGGTTGACAGCGCAGGTTAGTTCCATATGTCTCTATATATTTATATTATTGCATTTATATGTTGTAATACATCCTACCCGTGAAGGTCCGGGTTAGAATATTGATCTTCAGTAACCTATCCTTGTCCTAAGAGGCGACTAACGGGATAGGGTGGTCAGGCTCGCAGGCTTGGTTGACACATATTATCGGTTCCCAACTGCAAAGATCGATGCTCATGCTGTTGATCACTGGACTGTATGGTCCAGATTCGATTATTTACAGATCCCCGCCATTAAGCTAGAATATTGCTAAGTGCGGCGTAAAACTCAATTCACCCACTCACTGTAGTAACATTCAACCTGGTTCCGCCCGTAACCCCTGCTCTGAATGTACTCTATTTATTAGGATTCTTTCGTGGGGTTATGGTTTAGGCTTTAGGGTTAGGGTTACTTTAGGGTTAGGTTTAGGGGTAAGAGTTCCTCCCGTTCCCACATCCCAAAAAATATTTATAAATCACTATACATCAAAATTATTAACAAAACCTAACACAACAATTTCTAGAGAACTCACAAAAATAACTAAAAACTCAAAAAATAAGTAAAACATATAGGATCGAACCGCGTTGCGTTACCTCTGTTAAGAAGTCGGGGAACGGAAGGAACTCTTTCTCCGAGTTTTCGGCGTGACGAGCGAACGCTTTTACCACTAGGCTACCCCAACGCCCTTCCCCCCCCCCCCCGTGAAAATTACATTTGCAGTGTTTAACCCAGGACCTCTTTTAGCACCTCATACACCCTCCATCCCATCCCTTCACGACACACCCCTCTGATATCATACACACTTCATTCCATCCCTTCACGACACACCCCTCTGATATCATACACACTCCATCCCACCCCTTCTTGACACACCCCTCTGATATCATACACCCTTCATCCCACCCTTTCACGACACAACCCTCTGATATCATACACACTCCATCCCACCCCTTCACGACACACCCCTCTGATATCATACACCCTTCATCCCACCCCTTCACGACACAACCCTCTGATATCATACACACTCCATCCCACCCCTTCTTGACACACCCCTCTGATATCATACACACTCCATCCCACCCCTTCACGACATACCCCTCTGATATCATACACCCTACAACTCACCCCTTCACGACACACCCCTCTGATATCATACACCCTCCATCCAATCCCTTCACGACATAACCCTCTGATATCATACACACTCCATCCCATCCCTTCACGACACACCCCTCTGATATCATACACACTCCATCCCACCCCTTCTTGACACACCCCTCTGATATCATACACGCTCCATCCTTCCCCTTCACGACATACCCCTCTGATATCATACACCCTTCAACCCATCCCTTCACGATACACCCCTCTGATATCATACACCCTCAATCCCATCCCTTCACGACACACCCCTCTGATATCATACACACTCCATCCCATCCCTTCACGACTCACCCCTCTGATATCATACACACTCCATCCCACCCCTTCACGACACAACCCTCTGATATCATACACCCTTCATCCCACCCCTTCACGACACACCCCTCTGATATCATACACACTCCATCCCACCCCTTCTTGACACACCCCTCTGATATCATACACACTCCATCCCACCCCTTCACGACATACCCCTCTGATATCATACACCCTTCATCCCACCCTTCACGACACACCCCTCTGATATCATACACCCTACATCCCACCCCTTCATGACACACCCCTCTGATATCATACACACTCCATCCCACCCTTCACGACATACCCCTCTGATATCATACACCCTTCATCCCACCCCTTCACGACACACCCTCTGATATCATACACACTCCATCCCACCCCTTCACGACTCACCCCTCTGATATCATACACACTCGATCCCACCCCTTCACGACACACCCCTCTGATATAAAATCTCTCTATTCCATTACTGAAGAGGCAACAGGCCTATAGTACAAAATATAAAAACAATAATGGCATACAATCACAATGTTTGCAAACGTTATTTTCTTTGTTCAAAAGCATGGTGGATATACATACCAAGTTTACGAATATAAGTTGTATTATTAGAGTTCATTATCAAATTAAATTTAAACATGGTAGGATGTGAAGAGTAATAAAGTGGTAGATATTTTGTCCTTAAATCAGCATAGTAAGGACATACCAGCAAAAAGCAGAACTCATCGTCAATTACATTAAGTTCACAAAATTTGCACAATCTGTTTTCTCTTGGAATATTATAATATCTGCCCTTCTCGATCATAAGATCATGTGAAGAGCATCTAAATCTGGATAATGAAAGGTGGAATTTTCTAAGATTAATATCGTGTATGTATTGCTCTGTATGGCAGAAAGATTTAAAAGTACTGTAAAAAGTGGATTTGGGGGACTGTATAAAGATGAGTTCCAGGTCTGAATGTACATATCGTTTAATCTTTGCGATAAAGCATTATAAAATGACTTTGGGCAGGTAATCTTTTGTGACAAAAATACATCACTAAAACCACAATGATTTAGTAATTTTCTAACATTCGTTACCCAATTTGATTTTCCGTTGGTGTCAAACAAATACATCATGTTATAAAATTCCTTAGGAAATCTTGATGCAGGCATATTCAAGAGCTTTACCCAGTATTTGATAACCTTTATCTGTGCTTCTAGATAAAGTGGGAAGCGACCGCATTCACCATAGATCATCACATTTGGGGTATTTAATTTAACTCTGAAGACTTTTTTATACGCATACAAGTGAACCTTTTCCAATGCTTCCAACGGAGAAAAACCCCAAACCGCTGCCCGTAAAAATCTTTCGTCCCTGTAAAGCAGCACTATTACCATGATGATACCAATATAACGTATTGGCAAAATGGACCCT